TACAAACCGAGTGGGATCGAGAAATTGTGTGTGCATGTGCGCGTTTGTAATACTCTGAAGAAAATATATTGTCTTTTTTTCTCTTCTCTCATCAAGCAAAATATTCCTTCCACCTACGGACATTTTAATTTGTTATGACGTCCACATCTCTGTCATGTACACAGAGCACTGGATGATTATATGCCGGGCAAAAGTGGGTGCGTGTGCGCGCGCTTGCCTTCGCTTTAGTGTGACACCTGAGTCACTGGAAGTACATTATCGCTAATGTCCACTTCTGTGAAGTGACCTCATAAATGACCGCTCGGCTACACTGGCAGTGAGATAAGAGTCTGATAGTGGAGTGCCACTGAAAAGGTCACAGCTATCGTAAAGCAATGATGAGCTAAGCGAGGGATGAGTGGAGAGGAGGAGAAAGAGAGAGCGAGAAAGGACAGACGAATGGAAAGATCTTTGTGTTGATCGAGGGAAGAAAATTCAAGAAAGAAAAGTGTAAAACAGTGTGGAACTGAGGGAAGGTAAAACATAAATGTATGTTTAGTAAAATGGATAAAATGGACAATGCATTGAATAACTTTTGACACGCTCTTTTGACTCACACCAGTAAGCAAGCACACTAGCAATCACGCAAAAAACCTCAGCAATGCCCTGGTGTGGCTAATTAAAAGTAGCAATGTTTATTGCTCAGTAGGCAATTAAATTATTGTCATAATCAGTGTTGGAGGTAACGCATTACAAGTAACGCGAGCTACGTAATCAGATTACTTTTTTCAAGTAACTAGTAAAGTAACGCATTACTTTTTAATTTACAAGATGCAAAAGTAACATAACTCATTACTTTCCACAAAAAGTAACTAAGTAACGTAATAAGTTACCTTTTTTATGGAGTAACGCAATATTGTAATGCATTACTTTTAATAGTAACTTTCCCCAACACTGGTCATAATATAGCTTTTCCAGTAGCGAATGATTTGCAGCGTAGCGTGACCAACACTTCATTGATGCTGTCTGTTAAGAGAAGTAAAAAACAGTCACCTAAATGGTCCTCATAGTGTTGGAAAGTACGATTCTTTCAAGTGAATCGACTTGTCCTAAATGACCCAATCTCTCATATGTAGCATTAGAATGTCCGATTCTTTCAAGTGAATCGGTTCGTCGTAAATGGTCCTATATGCTGCAGTGGAAAGTCCAATTCATTCTAATGAGTCAGTTCGTCCTAAATGGTCCTCTCCTTCATTTGTAGAGATGGAAAGTCAGATTAATTTCTAAATGGTTGTTGTGTTGGAAGTTGGGTTCATTTTAATGACTTGGTTCGCCTTCTCCTAATTATGTAGAGTTGGAAAGTCAGAATTATTCTAGTGAATTGGGTCATTCGATGGCAAATGAACAAAATAACCACTTCAACTCCCTTTACTAAATTTTCAACTCTTATATAAATTAGAATGTATATTTGATTTAATATACAGTTACCCATTAAAATGTGAAAAAGTGTAACCCTAATTGCGATTGTTCATTTAAAACCCCAGGAAGAATATGTCTCTGATTAAATTATAAATTATAATGTATTTAGATACTTTTTCTTGTAGCTTTTAGTGCAGCTAACAACCCCCCCCCCCCCCCCCCCCAAGATACATCTTGGTCGCAGTTTTACTGCCAATTGTTTTTAGGTTATAACTTGACAAGCTACAGTTTCAAAGAAGCTTCGCCAACACTGCAACACTGTGGTGAGTTTTGCACGGGCAAGCGCCACTCAAGTGTCAAAATCTAGTTACATCTGATCTTTGAAAAAGGGTGATAATACAGCATCTTGCATTTGAAAAGAGGCCAAAAAGAGTGGCCAGATTGCGTGAAAATGAGAGAGGACAAAAGAAAAAGTGAAGCGTGGTTCTCCGGCTGCTAAAAAGCCCAGCCAGATGGATGCACTCAAAGTGACGTCCAGAGCTGTGACATCATCAGGGCAATGGCTTTTTATGGCATTTGCTCTGATTAGTTAAATGGCCATGATTGTCCGCTCAGCAAACCACTCACGCACACACACACACAGAGACAGAGAGAGATGACCGTGCAGGCTGTTGCACTGCGGTAATCAGCCGAATGCGTATCTACATAAGCCTCCTGATTATAGACCCAGTTGTTGGACCAAGTCAGACCACTTGGACAAATCAAATTCTCATTAAAGTTTCATTCGCAAATCCTGAAATTGGAACAGAAATACAGCCTTGGTACATCTCTGTGTTGTCCTGCCAACTAAACTTCAGAATCTAAAGTTCTAACAGTGTTGTGTTCATAGTATCCACGGTCCGGACAGTTCATTGCCCTGTTGGTATTTCTCAGTATGGAGTTTTGTAAACAAACTGAAACAGAATACCCTGTGAACTCTCTCAATGAAGTCTCGCCTCTTCCCATATTTCTGTTTCGCAGCGCTGTTAAATATTGTTTTGTGGGTGATCTTAAAAACAAAATCCAGATTAGCTGGGTTTATTCAGTATTATTTAATATAATTAAATGAACCCAAATACATTGGTTTATATGGGTCAGATTGAACAGGAATAGGTCTGCACACAGCAATGGAGTTTAATACCTGAACATTTTCATGAAATATCCTCCTAATGCATGCTAAAACCAAGGACGATAATGATAAAGATATTGTTTAAAACTTAAAAGAATGGCAGAGTCCACACCAAAATAACAACAGCACAGAGAAACCATATAGTTGGATTCACTTTTAGAACGATTTATTCCAGCTGATGAATGATAAAAACATTGATAGCCAATCAGTCTACATCCTACTGTAGCTCAAACATTTAAAGCTACAGACGACAAAACTGCAGCCAGCGTTTACAGTAAACAGAACAATATCGTCCATTGGTGTGGACTATATCATTCTTGGTGTGAATGGGCCTTTACACACCTAAATTTCCCCAGCAGAACAAAAACCACCATAGAAGAATCTTCATAAATTTGGCAAATATGCTAATCAGAAGAACCTCTAATTTGAAATAAATAACTTTTTTTCTCTCAAAAAATCATGCAGCCTAAAATAGTTATTTATTTCTTGATAAACTTATGTTTAAAAACTACTGTGCGATGGGATCCTAAAAAGGACCTTTTTCAACATTTATTTTTAGAGTGCACAGTTTTTTGTCTGACTTGTCTACCTCACTTTTTAATCGCCGTAAAATTTCACTATTGCTGGAAGAATCACTTGCAAACTTGGATACTTGCAGAGCAGGCTGAATTTCTCTAGCCTATAGGAGCACCGACCCAGCTCTCCAGAAGGCTGGTCAGGGATTTTGCATGGATGCGCCTGAGAAAGCCCGAGCCAATCACAGGCAGGCAGATGCATGTAAAATTCGCCGCTGAGTTTGAGGACCGGATTGAGCACATTGTGCTGTGGGACAGCAGGAATCAAGCATCTGTGGTCGCGCTCACATATATTAAACTGATGCGCACTAATGCGCACACTGGCACATCTGACGCGCGCCTTTGGTTACGCTTCTATCATGGTGGTACGCGTTTGATTCGAGGATTATTATTTTAGAAGACTCCGATCGTGAGTATAACGGACATCTGCTGCATGTAGCAGTTTGTAATTTCCCCCTTGTTTGTTGTATGAAATCATTGCTCTGCTCTTCGTACACCTCTTACGCATTAGAAAGCTACTTATATCGCACAAGTTGGTAGTTGGAATTGATTTTCGGACACGTCGTTTTGGAGATTTCCATCAGTCGGACGGTGGTCCTCTTGTATGGATGTAGTGGCTCGGACTGAGTCGGACCGATCCGGGGGTTCCAGACGCGCTTCCCCGAGATTACCCAGCAGCATCACCGTTCAGCCGAGCGCATCCAGCAGCAGTCGACATGATCCTTCTGGGAATACTTCTAAATCTGTTCGTCATTAAGGGTAAGACTCTTAGAAACAGCCTCCATGACTTATTTTGACACATTAGGGTCACACTTTACATGACAGTATTTATGCAGTATATTTACATAAATACATAAGTATTTACACTGCACATTTACATAAGTTCATGAACAACGTGCACAATATGTAACTGTAGAGCTACCTGCAAAGGCAATTTGCTAGTATAGCTATTGTGATTAATTATATTTAAATATACAATATAACGTAAAGTGATAGATAGATAGATAGACAGATAGACAGATAGACAGACTATGCAATCACTAGATAGACAGACTAATGAATATTAGATAGACAGACTAATATTCATAGACTTTTTTTCTATGAATGGCTCTTTGGTTATGAAGGCAGACTAAATACAACTATTACTATAGTAAAACCATGGTATTTTAAATTTTCTAAAAGAAAAGAGATAGACAGATTGGCAGATAGATAAATAGACAGACAGACAGACATAGATAGATATATTTTTTTTATGAATGGCTCTTTGGTGGTGAATGCAAACTAAACGAGACTATTACTACAGTAAAACCATGGTATTGTAAAGGGAAGGATTGTCTGAGGGAAAAGATAGATAAATATGAAGATAGATATATAGATAGATAGATACTTTATTGATCCCGTGTGGGGAAATTGGGTTACGTTAACAGCCAGACACAGTGTACAGTAGAGTGAAACATAATACATATAGAAAGATTAGAAAAGTCTACATTATAAACAAGATTTACACAATACACCATATATATTACAGACAAATAGACCAAGTGAGAAGAAATTAGATATATCATGGAGAGTTCATCTTACACAACAAATTTTACCGGTTGCACACAATATGCTGTGTATTAAATGTATTATACACATTGTGCATGCATTATATTGTATATGTCACATATAGTGCATACCTTTGGATTGAGACCATTTGTAAAAGCCAGAAGAGCAGTGATTAAATTGCAATTGCATGGAAACTTATTGCACAGGTGTGTTTTAGGGTGACCGCTGTGCCATGTGCTTGTGCTGAAACAATAGAAAGGGTTTCATTTTCTAGAGTGCTGTACACTGAGCAGAACAGATGTGTCTGTCACTCCTTCACATATCTGTGCAACAAACACTGTACACTCCCAAATAGCACCAGCTAATCTTTATATGCGGCTTGTAACAATAGCAGAACCCTTTATGTTGTAAAACCAACATATAGAGCTTAAACGAGCTTAGCTATTAATATCACTTACTGTAAGATGTTTACAAACAAGAAAAAGACTTTTAAGAAAACCCTCTTTTAGTCTGAGTCTTGAGATCATCCTCATGCTTTGAACAATAGATAATTATATTTCATTCATACGCAGTACTTTTAATAGTCCAACACAACACTGAGATTTTCAGCCAATTAGATGTACTTTACAGCCCTGTGTTTATTTTCTTTACACCTTTGAATCACAACAGCATAATCTGTGCAGGCAAGGTCTAAAAATATAATTCCGTCAACAAATAACAGTATGTTATGAGACATCTGTCACAGTCAATATTATCCTAATTATGTGATGGCAGAAACACACACACACACACACACACACACACATAAACAGAGACAGATTAGGCTGGTAAAGGGCAGCTCCATGGTGTTCCCGTAGCAAAGCAACCAACATTTGAGGGATCTGGCTTTCTTTCCCCACCTGGGACGACAGGGTGCAATATCTCACAAGTGTCTTGTGAGAGTGTATTGTAGCCCAAGTGACATTCATCATCATGAGTGGTGTTTGTTGCACCCTGGTGCCACGAGAACACGCTGTAATGCGCGCGCTGATCGACAGGTTTATTTATTAGCTGTGTTAATGATTGCAGATTTGATGTGCTACTCGTGCTGTGTGCATCCCCGGGGGCCGGGTCGTATATCAGCCACATGAAATGCAAAGGGACCCCCTGATGGATATCAAGTGGCAAAAAGATTTAATTTCCACAGTGCATTTGCATAAAGATTCGCATGCTTGAATACGTTTTTAAGAGGTGACCTGAAGTGGAAAGATGTGTACAAACATACCAAGTCGAAGATTGACGGCCTTTGGGCAGGTGCGCATGTGCGAATACGTGCCAGCCACGTGCCCAGGTGTGTTTGAGAAAAGGTATGTGTGCACAACTCTGGACTTTGGCAGCTTTAATTAATTTGGCAGCGACAGATGCTGACAGGTCTGGGAAAAACATGCCTGGCATATTCACTGCAAAAAAAAAGAGCATTTTAATCTTGTTTTTCAGTAAAATATCTAAACATTCTCAAATTATGATACACTAACTTGAGAAGCAAAATAAAAATGATCGTTTTCTGAAAAATGTATCCAAATGAAGCGATTTTGTGCTTAACCCTCATGTTTTGTTCTGGTCATTTTGACACCGAGATATTTTCGTTTTCTTGTGCTATAGATGTTATCGCATTGGACTAAAACTTACTGACATTGTTCACACATGGGTATTAACCCCCCCCCCCCCAAATGTGATAATTGTTGTACTTTTTACAGTTGTGGTGTTTCTCGATTAAAAATCACTGCCCTACAACAAATTATCTGGTAATCTCTCATTATGCAATATTCCCACCAAATATTGGATTCAAACTTGTTTTCGTTCATTTAGCACATTTCGTATTTCTTTTTGGATCTGATTGATCATAGGGCTCATTGATCTGACCTCATGCACCTCAGTTTTTGAGTGAACACTACCAAAATTATCCACAAATAATTTTTTTTTTCATTCAAAAACTGATGTGCATAAGCTCAAATCAATGAGGCCTACAACCAGTCAGTTCCAAAGATAAATACAAATCCTGTGCTAATTGAAAGAAAACAGGTTGACAAAAAGATCAAATTCAAGATTTGGTGATAAATCCATTTTTAAAAGGCCGGTCATTTTACTGGGAGCACCAAATGAGGTTTTCAGCATAGTTATTTTTCTTACCCCAGTGGCAGATATTTTTTTCTTGTTTAAAGTATAAACTCGCGTTTTTTTTCAGACTTAATACCTTAAGCAAGTTTGCTTCTCGGATACAGTAAAACAAGTCATAAATACTGAGTATGAAAATAAATTTTGTAGTCTAATGGTTTCTTCCTCATTTTTGCTTTTGCAAAAAGCATGAGCTGCACAACTTAAGAAATGTTTTGGGATGCTTTAATACACACAGGTGATTCAGGCTTTGTCAGCTCATATACTAATTGCATGGAGAAAAATATGCCATCATGGACTCAGATGCATCCCAGCCAAGGACATACCCAGGGACAGCCTAATTACATGACCATTTTTAGCAAATCAAAGAGGAATCGTAAGAACACAGGTTCAATAAACCACACGGGATTAGCTAACAAAAAGGTAATCTTCCCTCCGGGCATGTATTCTTCACATATGAGGGGATGTTTAGGGTCTTTTCAGGGTCGTGTGTGTTTTGTTGATAACCAGGATTTGGAAAGGCAAACACGGTGACGGCAGATGGTGTTGGACTCTCTCGCCTCGACTGGAAGATTCAAGCCAAGCGACAGAATCAGAAAGAGCATGTGTGAGCATGTGTGTGCGTGAGCTCCACTTGCACATGGCTTTTATGATGATGTTGTAGCCAATTTTCATTAAAAGCACTGAGCGCTGTGATTTAGCGACGAGGACCGTCTCAGCATCACGTCCCTGCAGTGAACTCCTTCCTCCCGGGGCTTTCGGATTGTCTTCCGTTTCTCCTCACTGTCAATCAGACGGGCCCATCCGACCCGGTTCTTTTAATATCGCCGCCATGCTTTGATGTGACGTGTCACCAGTAGTGAATAGATACGGCGCTCTGACCCACATTTGACAAAACCCTCAATGCAGCAACTAACAGTGGAAGTCTATACAGCAAATATGAGCGTATTTACTGTCAGAAAGATCCTTAAATACAGTGTCAATGGCTTCTTTTTTGTTCCTTGACATTTGTCATCCTTGCTGAAAACCAGTCATTCACTGTTTTAAATGGAGGGTTTGTTTGTGTATGTTTTTGTTGAGTAATTTGTCTAAATTGTTGGTTTAGGTCCTGAGATGCAGCATGCTGTAATTTAGCTGATGGATTCTTCAGTTTTGTGTAGATCAACAGAAGAGATGTTTTCTTGATATGTGTCTTGATATAGTAGTGCTCGGTTTACCACAGAGGTTCAGACCGCTGTACGCATTGATTAGTTAATCACGTTAGACCCGCAAATATTGACAGCTGGAGCCGGTTTGCTGTCGCCTGCCATAAATACGGTCACACAAGGATACTTAGATTTACAGTACGCGCTCGTACGGTCTTTCTCTATTTCACTCACCTCTTTATTTCTTTCACTCCCTTGTACAGCTGAGCTTCACTGCAGAAACTGTGTCTGTCGTTCTCTCTCAGTGTGTGCATGAGACTTAAAGCCTCAAGGTGTGTGTGTGTGTGTGTGTGTGTGTTTCACTGTCACTTGCTAAATGTGATTTTAGTGCACGCACACACACAAATCTCGTAATACCCGGCCAGCATGTGTTTGATTGCCATCAGCCTCCACACTGAGACGGTTTCCTATTGTGAGGCGTCTGCTGTCTGTCATTCTGTCATTACTTTCTTTATTTCTGTTTCTTTCTCACTCCATCGCTCACTTTTCAACTCCTCTGTGTACTCGTCGTTCTCTGAATCATTCCCTGTTGTCTAAAAAGGGAAGACACAAAAATATGAGATATTTTAGATAGTTGTATTTATTATTTTAATAGTAAATAAACATATTTAATATAAGTTAATCCGTACAATATCATTTACAATTATACAATGCAGTTTTAAATCAAAATAATTATAAATTAGTTGAATTAATTGCATTATTAATTATGATTAATTAGTCACAATTATCACATGTATTTGCTCAGAAAAGCAAATGTGGATAATTTAAAGATATTATTGTGTAAAACATTGAATAGACAGAAAGTCAGTATATTCTTTGTTATATATCCATATCATTGAACGCAAGTGTAACACTTTGTTATTGTGTCCGATATAGACTTAAGGGCCTTTCCACCCAAGATATATTTTGGAACTATTTTTTTAATTGTTTTGTCATATGTTGTTGCATTATGTCTCGCTGTTTTTCAGCATCGAATGTCATGAGCTTTTAAAAACATATCTTGAAAACCTGTTCTATTCCATTGTGTTCTGTTTATCTGTAGTAACAGCTGGTGCTGTGCTGACTGCGGACTCACAAAAATTCTGTATTATGATTAAATTGTATTATAATTAACCACTAAAATAAAACAGCCCTAGTTATTGTTGCCATTTTTTAAAACATTTTTAGTCATATTTATAATTATGTATCTAATGTATACAGCTAAAAATAATAAAATATTGATAAAATAAAATTAACAAAAATATGAATAAAATAGATATTAATAAATATTAACATAAATATTCATCCGTGTTATTTTAGTATAATTGAGATATTATTATAGTTTTTAATGTTTTGAATGAGTTTTTAATTTTCCATTATCCTTTTAATGTTTGAAGTAATTTTGTTGTGTTTTTGTCATTTTGATTAGTTATTTTTTAGTGTCTATATATATATATATATATATATATATATATATATTTTTTTTTTTTTCCAGCTTTACAAATTTTAGTACATCACGTTTAACTAAATGGAAATGAGTTATGTTGCTAGCTGATTTTTAAAAAATATTTTATTTTGATTCAGTTAACGTTTATTTCAAGTAACAAATATGTTTTTTATGGTTTTAATTTTACTTAACTAGTTTAAGTTTTAGTTAATTTCATTGATATTAATTATTTATTAATTAAAATGTATGATTCATTCATTCAAATAAATGATTTTTATTTGTATTAATAATAATACAACTAAAATTAACATTAGTCAGTTAGTAGCTAAAACAAACAAACAAAACAAACCAAAAAAAGCTGAAACTGCTTTAACTGTCTTTAACTGTCTTTCTTTTCGTATTAGTCACTAGGAATTTGCAATGTCATTTTCATGATGTTAAAATAGTTTCTTGTATCTAAGCTTAATATGCAATGTCAAGACTTTCAGTGGTTGATGGAAAAGTGTAAAACTTTGGTCTGCTGAGCTATAAAGTATCCAATACAGCAGCATTGACTCTAAATTTAGAGCGGGGCTATCTGAGGGCAGATGGAAAACCTGTTTGAAAACAGACATAAATTATGCAATTCTGTTTGGTGCCACTAGAGGCGCAGCAATGACACGCTTCACCTTTAAGAAGAAAACTGAAAACAGTGGCAGATCAAACACCTGTCTTTAAATTCAAACTAGCACGTAACATCTCAATATTGAACTGTTTGTCAAATATGTGCGACATCAAAGTGTGTTTACTTGTCCGTTTAACTTCGGCCGCCGCAGTAGATGGTCTTTCACGCATGGATCATCACTGTGTGAGCCGTGGAAGGAGGTGCCATTTTGTGGTAGCGGAGTCCTAAGCCATGACCAACGCTTAGAATGCCGGCCGCAGCTGTGGGTTCTCAATCACCACACGCTTTAAAATGAGGCCTAGCGCAATTACTGCCCCTGCCGCTGCGAAGGAAAACAGACACAAAGGGGGATGGGGGTCAGGGGGGGGAGAAATACAAGAACACATGTCTCATGCTTCTATAGGCGTGCACAGCTTTTTCTGTCGCTACTTAATGAAAAACAGCAAACGTAGCCATGAAATTACACAGCCCTGTCACAGTTTCCCCGCAGGTCACCCTGAGACCTGGCTGATGGCGAGGGTCTCTGGAGTTGATGACGTCTGTTAGGATTGAGCCTGAGAATGGACACAAAGCACAAAGTGTCTGTTGTCAAGGATTTGGTTTGAAACTCTTGATGTATGAAGTTGGTGAATGACGATTTTCTGCTCGTTTAAGTTATCAGTCCTCCTGCAATAGCAAGACAGGAAATTCCCTTCAGAGAAGAGGTCTCTTTTAAATAATTTTACACATTATCAATTCTGCCCTTGAGTGCAAGTTAAGGGACTTTGATCTTCATTTTTACACGGTCACTGTCAAAATGTTTTCTATGCATCTAGAATGCAGAATCAGATATTATAACTGGTATGTATTATAGTGAAACAGATCCACAAACTGTAATGTGTCATAGCCAGGTCCACAGGGAATCAGAATTGAGCAGAAAACTCATTCACAAAGTTCTACATATTCCCTGCACTTTCTGTGTGCATTCTCTTTTTAAATATTTTGGCCAATATAGCTGCATTTCCACCGAAATTACCTGGAACAATTTGTCCCAGACCTGTTGCTGTCTGTGTTTCCAAAGTAGCATGAATATTAGACAAATAGTCTGGTGAGGAAGGACTGCGTGCGACTGCACCTCCCAGTCCAGGAGGGGGCGCTAATGTCGAACAACGATAACGTCATACTAAGTGACGGACAATCATAATTTTTTTTGTCACTGTTTCCAGTTCCCGCTGGATTTCATCCCCGGCACTGCACCAGCACCGCACCGCACCGCACCGCAACAGACGTTTAAAAATGGTGGTTGAAATACAATGCTGCGTAGAGTCAACCAATCCAAATGCTGCGTGAACTCAACCAATCAGCATGTTCAGCGCCCAAGTCCCACCCCCGAAAGTTCCGGACCTTTGAAAAAGTACCAAAGCCACTAGAAGGCTATAGTAATAATCTCTGAAAGTACTACCTCGCAAGCAGGGACTGTCTGAGGGGCAAATTTTTACCCAGAGCTTTATTTAGATCCTGGTTCCTGTGGTGGAAACACACCGAGTACCCCCGCCCCCAAAGTCCCCAGTACCTGGGGAAAGTTCCTGCGGTGGAAACGGGATTTATGACTGTTTTCATCAAACTTCAGGACTGTTGTGGCTCCATTTCAATTCATCAAATTGAATTGGCCACGTCCCACAGGAAGTTGATTTGGAATTTAAAGACAAAGACAGGAAATAGAAATGACTGAATAGCAATTCAAAGAAATGTAAGATGTGCAATGCATTCTGGGAAACAAAGTGTTCTTCCACCCTAGTCCACAAAAGATAACTTATTAAACATGATTATACACACACACACACACACACAGGTTTGTTTTTATGGTTTACGGGAACTCTCCATAGGCGTAATGGTTTTTATACTGTACAAACCGTATTTTCTATTGCCCAACACCAACCCTACCCCTAAACTTACCCCTCACAGGAAACTTTCTGCATTTTTAGATTTTCAAAAAAACTCATTCTGAATTATTTATAAGCCTTTTGAATTACGGGGACACTGAAAATGTCCTCATAAACCACATAAACATACACACACACACACACACACACACACACACACACACACACACACACACACACACACACACACACACACACAATAAATACA